TAAATGTTCTTTACATATTTTCAAAATATTGTAAAAATTAAAAAAAAAAAAAAAAAGTACTGTTCGATAAATAAAATAAGCTAGGGAAAGGCTTATACAAAGAATCTCCTTAGAGGTTCTTTGGCTCATATGGGTTCGCTGCCATGACTCGTGCTGCCATCTACTGAAGAAAGGGTAAACTATTTTGTTCTTTAAACCAGTGGTTCTCAAACTGAGCGCTGCGGCGCCCCGGGTAGTCGCGGTTTATTTCACAGGCGCGCCGTGAAATATTGTAAAAGCTTCATTAGTTGAGATATTTGGCCTAACTAAACAAAAAAAAAAAGAGAAAAGCTAAGAATATCAATATTTTTTGTGTGGTTTGTTTTTACTTGACCCTGTATAAAACTAAGGTCACGACGCAGAATATTTTTTTCACGTGGGTTGTACAAGCTAATTTCTTATATTTTGGATTGTTCTGGACGATCTTGCGAAAAGCTTAGAAGCAAACGTTGCTGGCTCGATTCAGTCAGTCGGCTTATAATCGACTAGTGAAATTAAACTCAGCGCTTTATATAAATAAACTGTAATATAAAGTTCATGCAGTATAGTTAGTGTTATATTACTCCTGGCTTGTTGTCTTTTATAAATAGTTATGTGATTTGAACTGTAAACCCTGAATTATGAACCTTGAATTATGTATTTTTCTTTATTTTATGTATTGTTTTTACTGTTTTGCCCTTTATATATATATATATATATATATATTATTTCGCTTTTTAGTATTTTACTTTTTATTATTTTTAGTATTGCTGTTCAGTATTTAGCCCTATTTTAGATATTATTTTTACTGTTTTATCAGTCACTCTGTTAATTGCTCATGTATTGTACTGTGCTCATTTAATGTTCACGTTGTGTGGATGCCTTTTGTAACCGCTTATCCATAACTCTGTAAAATATGTAACTGAAATTGTTCATGTCACCCGCAATGCACCCTTCCTCCATCACTGCACTATCATCTTGTTCAGCATTTGTTTGCCCTGCCCCCGTTTCGCTAATCATGGTTTTTTTTTTTTTTTTTTTTTTTTTTTTTTTTTTTTCAGTAAGTGAAGTAAGTGGTTTTATTTCCTAAGTTTCCCACACTCGTTTACTAGACATAGAGAATCTTATTTTTGACACATATGATATCCATGAATCCCTTTCAGTTGACGTGTTACCTTTGTTGCTTTGGATTTTTTAATGGCTATAAGGTTTGACAAAATAGGGTACCTACGAAACGCTCCCCAAGCTTTTTTTCTGTTGTCTCAGTGTATCCTGTTATTCACGATTCCACCATGAATTTGCAGGTTTGGGTAGATTTGTTGATATCATAAGTATACAGAGTGTATCTTCCTGAATTATAATATCAGTAACAGCTTTCATAGCCTCCTCGACAGGCACATATTTTATCATTTCGTTTGCGAACGTTTGCGAATTCGTTTGCAAGAGATAAAAAGAATTCCCAGCCTGCCCTCTCAAGTATAAATCGAGGGCATTTTGACAAAGGATATATTCCTTCTCGTGCGAGAGTTACAAAAATAGGAAAATAACCCCTAATATAAAGATCAGTCCCAACACCAAATATACAAAAGGTGATGGTGAATAGATGGTAAGGTCTAGAGCATGGAATGTCATAGCAATTTCGTGGAAGTATGTATCCTGCCCATTATTGAAGAGATACAGGCAATGAGCTCCAGTCATTACCTTAATTTAGCTGCCTCGTTTTTGTCCTTATTTCCTGTGGGGTACTGTAGCCGTTTAAGTCTCCTAATATGATAAAAGGTTCAGGCAGCTGCTCTATTAGACCGTCTATGTCTCGTTGATTGATATGGTTATAAAGTATTTCTCCCGTCTTCCCAGCGTGCCTTCGTGGTGAAGTGGTTCTGCATGCTGGGCCGTTATTCCAGAGGTCCGTGGTTCGATTTCCGACGAAGGCGTTTGCTAATTTTTAATCTTGCCTACTTCCAAAAATACTTAATGTCTCTACATGGTCATGAGAAAAAAATAAAGAGAATGTATTGAAACCAATGTGTTTATGCTTATTTTGAGGCAATAGCTTGGAGATTTGGTGGTAAAGGAAACGAACTAGATGAATGGTCAAGCAAGGTGAGGATACATACTCGCCTATGAAATTGTCTTTCCTAGTGAAAGAAACCCCCAAAACGTAGCATATTTCTCTGGTCAGACGAGTGATTCTGACCGTCTAGATCAGATGAGTCTCCTGCACTACCAAGTATACTGATGATACATATCCGATCAAAATCTTTTGTGAATTGAGATTTTGGTGGGAGCTTGCGACAGTTCTATGAAACGAGGTTGGCCAGTATGTTTGATGTTTTCTTTTATGGTGCTCTTTTTTAGTTTACGTGGAAGTAAGTACTTCAAAAGTCTTTGTTTCACATCCATCTCAGTGTCCAGATTCTCTGAAAATTAATGGTCAAAAAAGAAGTCACATACTTGGAATTCTGATTATGTTTTGAAATTTTCTCTGTTTTCAATACTATTTTTTGTTTTTTTACTGTATAGTATTATTACCATTGAAGCTATTGATTTCTGTGCTGAATTTGGGTTGCATATTCTAGATTGGCTTTTTATTCTGTGTGTATATTGTTTAGGTGCCTAAAGACCGGACAGATTTTACTCAGTTCGCATATGATAACTTTTTGCGCTGCTGCAACTCTTACTAATCTTCTCGCATCTGCATAAGAAACATTTTGGGCTACTTTAACAATTTGTATCTCTTTCTCAGAATTCTACTTTGTTCAAAGTCAAGAAAATACTGTATGCTTGCCCACAATCTTTCTGAATGGTCAGAGCGATTGCATTCAAATCACCATGGGGAATTAAGTAAATAAAATCATAAAATAGAGTATAAACACTTGGCCTTCATATTTTCTGCAGATCAGGCGACTGGAAAGTCGGGATTAGATATTTCCTAACTGACCTTCTTTGAACAGCTTCCTCCGTTTGGCAGAACAGATAGTCGGACAATTCCAAGGCAATTTTTTCTTCTGATGCGAACAGGTAGTCGATCTCGGAAATAACGCCAAGACTGTAATTCAGTTATTTGCGTTACGGCACATTAAAGTCAACTTCCCTAGGTTTTTCCAAGGGTTGCAGAAGACAGAAATAACGCTAAGACTGTTTAAGAAGGGTTGCATATTGAACTGAAGAAGCAGCTTCCGTTAAAAGGTCTCCACAACGCAGCCATTTGATGGTCTTCGGTTGACCAATGGTGGACTGTATAAATGGGAAATAATAACATCTTTTGAAGATCGTCTTTTAAGTTATTTATGACAGCAAATCTGAGTAAAATTTCTCCAGGATTCGCATCCACACTTATTTTTGCGTTTTTTTTTTTTTTTTTTTTTTTATTTTTATTTTTTTTTAAACTGCGTAATTGCATTTTGATTATTGTTAGTTACCATATTAAGGAGAAAATAATTCGGACCTAGCTGCTGCATCCATCCTGGAGATTAATAAAGGGACGCCGATTCTTTCGCCATGGCAAACCAGGTCTCGCAATCTTGAAATGTTACAAGCAGCATTCCCGAAATATCCCCAAGCCGCTGCGATTAAGGTCTAGTGACCAGCATATTGACACTAGCGGGGACATCTAAGTGCCTCCTGTTTCAATCCGAAGCAAATGGAAAAGTATGTATGCTGAAGACAGCACCTCAGTCCTTAACTATCAGGATCTTCCCTTCCGGCAATGCGCATGTTAATCTAGTACGCGGTTTTCTTTCCATGAGGAACTACAAACTAAGGAATGTAACAGCATCTCATTTTGAACCCCGGCCTCCATAAAAGGAAGCCCACAGGGTAAGGAAAAGTGCAAAAGCAGCAGAAAAGAGAAGAAAAGGAAGCGAAAAGATCCATGGGACTCCGGGAATCATGACTCTTGCCTTACCAAGAGGGTTAGGATGTAAGGTATTTCTCCCGCTTTCTTGGCATTCCTTCGTGGGGTTCTGGTCTGCACACTGGGAGCGTATTCCAGCGGTCCACGGTTCGATTCCCGGCTAAGGCTTTGCATATTCTTCATCTTTCCTGCTCCCAAAAAATACCGAATATCTCTACAGCGGCGCCCGAACTAAAATGGCTGTTGAACAATGATTCTCCTCACCCAGGATTTGGCGATTGGGTCCCCTAAAACCCCATTCCCCTTTAAAAGGTGGAGTATGTAAGATATTTCTGCCCTTTTCTTGGCATGCCTTCCTGGTGTGGTGGTCTGCACACTGGCGCGTATTCCAAAGGTCCGCGGTTCGATTCCCGGCGATAGTGTTGCTTATTTTTCATCTTTCCTGCTTTTAAAAAATACCTTATGTCTCTACAAGGGTACCTCGAGATTTCCACATCTGTCATCACGAAGAATAATCTTCAGAAGAGTTCTTCATGAAGGCTCAAGAAATTTAGTGCGAATTATTTATAAGGGCTTAAATTATCGTAATTATAAATGTATAATGCTAACTTAAATAGTACTGACTCTGCTATAGTTGACTCTCCTTTTTACTGAAAAAATTCACAGTATTAGACCTATTGATTTCTATTCATCTGCAAATGTACGGTGATGACGCAAACAAAATTATCAAAACTAAGTGCAAAATAAAGGGCTAATAGCATATCAAGTATGACTGATTACATTATGTAAGGCAGCAGGGATTTTTAAGGTATTTCTTCCGCCTTTTTGGCATACCTTCGTGGTGTGATGGTCTGCACGCTGGACGCGTATTCCAGAGGTCCGCGGTTCGATTCCCAGCGAAGGCGTTGCTAATTTTTCAATTTCTCTTGCTTCCAGAAAATCCTAATGTCTCTACAACTTTTATAGAAAAGTGCTAATTTTCAATTAAGATGTTTCTGATAGTAATAAGTCTTTGCTACAATTTTTCTAAGGGTACTGTTATACTAACTTCTTCGAAGTTGCGTATATTTAAATTAAAGAGAAATAATCAATCCCATTAACATCAATTCTGCATTTTTTTTTTCAGGCTCCTATGCAGGTGCGGTAGTGGGAATACCTGTTTCAGGTTTTTTAACAGAATTGGCTGGTTGGCAGGCGTGTTTTTACTTCTACGGTAAGCATCCTTATTTTTCTACAGTATGTGGTTTGAGCAGTAAATATTGTAATGGTCATAAGTGTAAATAAATTAATTACAGTGTAAATGCTGTTATGGACATCTTGAATTCATAAATAATTCAGATTTGATGTTAAAAGAAATCGCATGCAGTAAAAGTAATAGATGAATTTCATTTTAACTAGCATCCTGCTATTAATACACTAGTTAGGTGGAAACTTTGCACAGTCATAAATAGAAGATCTGCAGATACTTAGGACATATACAGAACACTTCCTTACAACTTGATCAGGCTGTATGTTAAGTATATTGAAGTAGGTATAAGTTATATTAAACGACATAATCTCCTTATTTAATGAAATAATATAATTTTATCGCCTAAGCATTTGGTAGCTTTATACCGAGTTCCTCAAAAATAACTTTCTTTTTATGACTTAGTAATCTAAGTCGAACAACTTTATTATTGACTTGGTGTGACTGAAATGTTCGGTTGACATATTTCACCTTCAGACAATTAGATGAATTGAATGATACTTAATTATTAAAAATAATCTCCTTCAGCATTCACACACTTTTACATTTGCTGTATTAACAACTAGATACCGTACGTCAAATTCTGCGATGCGAAGATGTCAAATAAATGTAGAACTTCTTTTTCATCAACACAATATTTTGTGTCAGAAGATGACAGGCGTATCCAGCTGGCGATAAACAGTGAGATATTAATCATTTGAGTATGGCAATTAAGGAAAATTTAACACTGGAATTTACGAGTCGTCTATTTGCGTAGTCGTCTATGGAACATGTGAGTAGATTTTCATGTAACACGAAGGAACTATGCCTGTCGACCATTTTGCTTGAGAACAAATTAGTGTTACATTTCATGCTCTCTATAGCTATAATTATGCGGCGTAATAGTTTCATTCCTATATAATAAGATGCGATGATGGAAGCTTAAAAGATGCTTTTGCTTTGCACCGAATCTCATTCCATTTAATTTACTTCATACCAGTAAATGAATTTAACTATCTGATGAGAAGTATTCCAGACCTCATACTTCAATAAATGTCCCTTCACTTAAAATAATTCGAGCAATGCCAGATACTGAACTTAACGTAAGTTTCCAAATTTCAATAATTTACTTAATCTAGTTTGGGAAACTGTTTATCATCAGTTAAGAAGAAATTAATTTTAGCAATGGATAAAATTAATTTTAGCCCTTTCTTATAATCCTTCCTTTGTTTCTCAGTTAAAAGAGGACTAGTAAGCTTTTACAATTTTCACCAACCGTTTCTTTATTATAAAAGCAGCACTGAAAGCTTTAAAATTTGGAATAAAGAAAAGCAAAAGAGCCATCATAAACTAGTGGAAAGTACCATTTCAAAGAAAAGCAACATAAAATCAAAACATTAAAAATCCTCCTTTAAAATGCAAAAATTTGAACATTGTTTTAAAAAGAAAAAAGTATTTAAATACTGCAAATGAAAGGATCGTTTCATATATCTCTGTACATGTAAGGTGTGATCAAGATTTATTCTTTTAAATGTATCAAAAAAACATATTAACTTATTTATAGGTTGTGCGGGTGTGGTGTGGTATGTTTTTTGGATGTGGATGTCATTCGAAAAGCCTTCCAAGCATCCTACCATAACTCAAGCGGAGTTGATTTATATCGAGAATAGTATCGGAAAAGTAGCAACGTCAACTCCAACGGTAAGAACTGCTCTTAAGTTCAAAATATGAAGTGAACTTAATGCATGATTCATATGACATATGAAACCCCAGAACTTTGGTCTCAGTGCTCACTAACGGAAGATTAGATTATATACTAATATCTACAAAACGATTCGTTATATATATATATATATCAACTTTTTAGCGTACGAACTAGGAATTTTCTTTTAACTATATATATATGTGTGTGTGTGTGTGTGTGTGTACATATAAAGTTCGATTATATATATTTATAGACGCCGTTTTACTATAAGTTTTACATTCTTACTTATAACGTGTTTAGTAATAAGGGTTTAATATAGTTTCTGCTTATAATTTTTAAAAAATTAATAAATTTAAATAAAATCCCAACTAATGTATAACAAACTGAGATTTCACTAATAAATTGCTAGTAAGCTTCTTTTCTTATTCTCTATCCGCTTTTTATCTTAAATGGCATATAAATTTCTGCAGTAAAACAATTTTATAAAAATTTCTTGGAATTTCAGAATAAAGTAAAGTAAAATTATTGGATGTTATAATTTCAAAGCAACTGTTTACAAATACAGAATTGATCTAAAAAAACACCTGAAAACACACTGACTAACTGTAACTCATCATACTTAACTTTTAAACAATGTTATATAAATCTGAGCTAACTTATGCCGCGATAATTTCAGGTTACTCTATGTTCATAGCGGCTGAGTTAAAGAGCTCATTTAATTATTTAACTAGTTACTATCAAGATTCAATTCTGCATGCGTCGATGTTGCAAACTATAAAGTAGCTTATTTTTTAAGCTTATCTAAATCAGATTTATGCCACCTCCTTTCTAATTCTATTCACTGCTCTCTTTATATACGATTGACTCTTTCGTACTCTCCAGCTACGGCACTCATACCTTCTGTATCTGTATTTGTAAGAAATATTCTTCCTGCTTACTTCGAATCTTAGTGATGTAATTGAAAACAATTCTGTCTAACACAGGACGGTCCGAAGTTCGAAACCGGGCTAGAACATTACTGATTTTTTCGCGATTTCTGCTTTGAAATGCTTAACAGATTTTACACGTGATGACTGAACTAAAATGAGGGGTGTGCTAATTCGGTCGCATTTGAATTTGGCGACTGGATTCCTCTTCCGCAATCACCCTTCAAGTGGAGAAGAACGTGAAGAGTTTTCTTCCTCCTTACCAATCGTGGTCTAATAGAAGTCCATCCAGCTAGCATGGGAAAATTTGGATTCGAATATCAGAAGGGAAATGCTGATTTTCACGTTTTTTGCTCCGAAATAAACCCAAACACTCTATACATTAAGGAAACAAAACAGAAAATTAAAACGTTAAGCTGATAAACCGAAGGAAATATATTTTAAAAAGTGATTTTTCCTGTAAAACTTTCTGGAAACACTAATGTTTAATATTTTATAAAATGCAAAAGGCGGTAGGAAGAGATTATAATTAAATAAATATTAGTTCAGTGCTTACAAAGAAAGCCTCATTTAATCTTTTTAGTAATAATCGTTGTTTAAATAAATAATAATACACTGAAATAATAAACTGACGTAGACATGGCACTGTGCTAAAATGATCGCTTTGTATTGAAATAAGGAATACCTAGAAAAATAATAACATCATGAGTAAGAATGTAATAATCAAAATATCACAAGGACCACAAAATTTCAGACCATTTTACGATCGAAAGATTCATTTTTTATAACTGGGCGTTTTTTGGTTTTTAATTTTTAAAACTGTGTCACATGCAAAATGTATCCTATTTGTGTTACACATTTTAGAATCTCTAGATAATACGAGCGAAAGACTCATTTTTCATAACTGCGCATGATTGTTTTTTAATTCTGTAAAATTTATCACATAGAAGATGTGTTCTATTTGCAATATACCTTTTAAGGTCTCTATATATATGTAGTAAAAATTACATACATTTATCATAAAATAAGTTAGCTAATTAATGGTCACTTCAGAAACATAGGAGGAAAAAAGACCACAAAATTTCAGTTCATTTTACGATCGAAAGACTCATTTTTTATAACTGTGCATGATTGTTTTTTAATTCTGTATACTTTTTAGAATCTCACTCTATATATGTAGTAAAAATTTCATACATTTATCATAAAAGAAGTTAGCTAGTCAATGGTGAGAACAAAAGGACAAAAGGATCGCAAAATTTCAGATCATTTTATGATCATCAAAATTTCACAAGGACCACAAAATTTCAGATCATTATACGAGCAAAGACTCATTTTTTATAACTGTGCATGATTGTTTTTTAATTCTGTAAAATTTATCACATGGAAAATATATCCTATTTGCGTTATACTTTTTAGAGTCTCACTCTATATGTGTAGTAAAAATTGCATACGTTTATCATAAGTTAACTAATTAATAGTGACCTCAGAAACATATAAAGTGAGGAAGCCAATGCAACGTTTTCGAGATAAATATAAGCAATTTGTTGTCCAGATACATAAAAATACGGGGCTGATCTTTGGAATATGGTAACTGGTAGTTTGGCGACATTTTGGAGGCGATAAAGGTTACTACCTAGGACTTTGGTAATAATGTGAGAAACACTCAGTTCCGATTACGCATTATTTTGTGTGAGGGAAATGAGAGATCATGAGATATGTCATGTGACATTAATGGACGAATTACAGTTGTTTAATCGGAAAAGGGGGGGAAATCTGGAAATTTCGTATTTAGCTATATTCTGTGTTGTGTGAAACGTGACATTAATGGACGAATTATAGTTCTTTAATCGGAAAAGGGGGTTAATTTGGAAAAGTTTCATTGTTTGTTGTGTGAAATAGTGTTGATTAATTTTCGGATTGCATGGCGCTATGTAAAGTGAATTCTAAATGTTTAATACGTTTATCTGATAATAATAATAAGTTGAGATTGTGTGAAAGGAAGGATATTACAAGTTTAAATGGCGGTTGCAAGAAATATGGTGAAAATGAAAATGAACATTTTTGAAAAGGAAAAGGAGTGTAAGGAAGGGTACGTGGTTTGCTGAAAGTAGTTTGAGGTATAGGTGAAATTTTATTAATTTCTTATTTACTTGGTGAATAGACTTCCAGTTGACTACTGGATTTAGGATTTAGAAATTAGCAGTAGTACTGCAGCGACGCAATGAAGATTCTGAAGAAGGTTAGGTAAGTTAGTATTTTTAATCATTTGAAGATATTATTTTTATGCATTGTTCTAAATGTAAGGAGTAAATAAATTAAAATGGTATTATTTGAAAATTGCTATTAGCAATGATTTAGTTTAAAGTAATTAGGATTGTAATCTAATTTTTATTAATTTAATGTATGTGCTTATTTAAAGTAGTATTTTTTAATTTAATTATATTTGAATTTAATGATCGTGATTTTGTGAGTTATATGTTTGTAGTATTTTGGAATATGTTTGAGTAGTATACGTTGAGTATTTTCATGCATTTTCGTGAAATTTTTCTAATTTATGAGAAAAAAGCAGTGTACATGGATATAGTGAAGAGTGTGCGCAATGCCATTTTTGTCCAATTCTGGGATGTTTTTTTAAGTAAAAATAAGTCGACGTGTACATGGTTTAGTGATATTTTAATTAAATGATAGTTATTTTGTGAATTTTATGTTTGTAGGAATTTGGTATACGTTTTAGCTGAAGTAAACGTGCATGGAAATAATTTAAATATTTGACACTAAGTATTTGTAATGTTTGCGGTATGAATTCTTTGGTAACGTTTATAATATAATAGATAATTTAGAGGTAAAAGTTTTTAGATATTTTATTTATTTTATACGTGGAAATGTTCATATTTGGAAAGGGTAGATACTTTTTCGCGATAAGGTAATTTCATATATGTTCTTTTTACCGGGTTTAAAGATTCAGAAAATTGTCATGTATTTTCGTGAAATTTTTCTAATTTATGAGAAAAAAGCAGTGTACATGGATATAGTGAAGAGCGTGCGCAATGCCATTTTTGTGCAATTCTGGGATGTTTTTTTAAGTAAAAATAAGTCGACGTGTACATGGTTTATGTGTATGTGGTATTCTGAAAAACGCGCAAGGAGTTTGCGATTGTGAACTTTTTCCCAATTTTGCAGTGAATATTTGTCATGATAAAGCAGTTTTGTTAGATAAAATTTCTAGTATAAATCTAATTTGGCTAGTAGATTGTTGGAAAAAGTGTTCAGTAAATAAAAAGAAAAGAAACATGTCTTTACTTCGTGAAGACAAAATGGCGGCGGAAAAAAAAAAATAAGAGGGTTGCTGTAACAGAGTTGGTCGCCAAATTTTCGCCAAGAAATCGATAAGTTACCATAATCCAAAGATCAACCAAATACGGATATGAAACGCGTTATTATCCAACAGAAACACCGAAGTTGTATGATCACACGATATTCCAAGTGATAGAAAATGACTTTTAAAATGGTGTATGTAAAATGAAAGCTACAGTAATAAATGTTTTCAAATATCGAAATATTGACGCAACGAAAATAATAGATGACGAGCAGGAAATTAAATTAAAGATAAAATAAGCTAAAAAAATCATTTATTTCAACTAAAGATGATAAATGCTTCTCTTACCGAGAACACGTTGATGCGTTCGACGAGAGAAATAAATGTGGCACTACAAACATCAGAATTACAACACATTCAGAACTTTCCTCGTAATAGGTTTACTTTAAGCCAGTCAGTGTATATAAATTAATCGGGTAGATCCTAGACTTCATATTACCTCAGAGCCAGAAATGAGTTAAATCATGGGAGTAACATGTGAGATCTTGAGAATGGGAAATGACCCTAGATAATGATATCATGAACATAGTACGGAACTAGTCACTTCACGCTTATTAATAAGTGTGATGAGGCACAATCTTGCATCCAAATTGCATTCTGTAAATCTCATAACTAAGTGAATCACAACTTGATCAAGAAAGATCGCGATTTTTAAATTGCGCAAAGTTCTTTCAACGAGACGTAAAAAAGCGAT